CAAGGGAAACTACTCTGAGAAACCCTGCCCCAGCGCCACTTTGTCCACCACAAATCCCACTTGACCAGACCCGGGCTCGAACCCGGGCCGCCGCGATGGGAAGCCAGCGACTAACCACTTGAGCTTTGGCTCGATTTTCATATCAAGGCTCCACAGTGTCGTGTTAGCTCACTGTTAAGTCGTCGATCATCACAAAGTTTAAGTAAATCGTCGAAGAGGGGAGTTACCCGTCCAAACAAATGGTGAGCTCGGGTTCTCAGCCACCACTTAAATATTTTCACCTTTGGCTATCGCTGAATACAGTATATAATACTAAACGTTAAACAACTGGCCGCGCCATAGTTCAAGCGGTTAGTCGCTGGCTTCCCACCGCGACGGCCCATGTTCGATCCCGGGCCTGGTCAAGTGGGATTTGTGGTGGACAAAGTGGCGCTGGGGCAGGTTTCATCCGAGTACTTCGGTTTCCCCTGTCAATCTTCATTCCACGAATTGCTCCACAATCACCCTCACCTATCATCTGGGGCTGGTACAATAGGCCAGAAGTGGCCGCAGTACAAGAGACTTAGTCCCACCCCATTAGCATTAAAAAAAAGTTAAACAAACACTGTTGTGTTATAATCGCAGGTATTTATAGTCAGTATATAAATATTTATAATTGCGTTCATATTATATTATAATGCATGCTTTGTGGGTAAAGAGGGGATGAGAACGTAGCCTACAAATTTTTTTAAATTCCTTATGGTAAAAATGGATCCACTTAACGTCGTTTCACATATTGTCGTGGCTTACAAGAACGTAATCATGGCATCGAACGAGAATTTCCTCTATTTCGTTCTTTTCTCGAATAATTTTTGTTCTGAACTACAAGCGCCCCGATAAACAATATGCTACGCTCAAGGTGCACGCAGAAACGCACGTAGGTCTTATAATAGTGTCCTTCATTACTGTTCGATTATAATGGATACTAATATGTATTCACAAGTCTGAGTGGAATTTCCCAGTATCAGATTTCAGTTTTCTCCAATTGAGACATGCCGATTCATATTCTAAATGCTTCATTGCGAACGCGCCATAACTGAAACTCGGAAGGAAAGAGACAGTCGTGAAGAACCTGACATAGATGGGAGAATAATAATAATACAGATCTTGAAAAAATAAATTAAAAGACTTGGACTGGATGCAACCGGCTCAAGATACGATGCAGTGACGGAGGATTGCGAACACGGTAACGAACCTTCGAGTAGTAGCAAAACTTCGAGTGGAGGTGCAGCTCCACGTAATCTAGACCTGACGCTTCAAACGTTTTACCCATCGGGAAAGACCCCTCGGTACCAATTGCACAGGAAGGTAATTTGCTATATACGAGTACTTCCTACTTAAAATGTGAAATAACTTTCAAATAACGCTATATCCTTTTAAGATTTAAGTTATTCAAAAAACCCTATGAACCAAACAATTAATTCCACGATAAATATCTTCTTTGGAAAGTTGATAGCCGTTCAGATGTTTCCTACTTTTGCAGAACCCGAACGTGTATCTCACTGATTCACAAAAACCCATCGCTGAAGACTGTCCTAAGCTATTTCAATATGGTGCATACCTTGACACACTGTGGAGGCACGCTGTAACGTAGTTGGTTGAGGCACTATCCTACAAGCCTGAAGGTCGTGGGTACTTCCAGCCGCACTTTGGCCCTGGGGTCGATTCGGCCTCTAACAGAAATGAGTACCAGGAATCTTCCTGTGGAGTAAAGGGAGGCCGGCGCGTAAGGCTGACAACCTTACCACCATCTGTGAGCTAACTGTTTAGATAACGTGGGACCATCAATGCCTCACAAACCTATGGGCTTCCATGGCCTGTTCGAGGGATAGCTTTCCCATTTTTTACCTTTTACTTTCACACACTGTTTCTCCAAGATTATTTTTAATATTATTCTTCTTTCTATGCTTGAACCCAACAAGTTGACGATTACTGTTTTGTGGGTTTAATATTGTATGTATTTGTCATATCTCCACGCATTCTACGTGTCCGCCCACCGTCCTATGATTATGGTGAAAATAAAGATGAAGGGGCAGGCATGGACAAAATAAGTTCCTTACATTCTACTTCTGGAGTCGGGGATAGCGGCGGTCTACGGGCTGGACGACCTGGGTTCGATTCCCGGCAGTGGAAGATTTTTTTCTTCTCTATAGCGTCCAGACCGATTCTGCAGTCTACCCACCCTCCTATGCAAGGGATACTGGGAGCGATTTCCACGTGGTTAAAGCGGCCGCAGCGTGAACCTGACCACTCACCTGCATCTAGTGCCGAGGTCGAGAATGGTGGAGCTATACCTCCACTACCTTATATTTCTTCACGGCATAGTGCTTAATTAATTAAGCACAGGGATAACTTTACATTTACCTTCTGCTTCTCATCTTTAACCGTAAGAATTACCGGAAACACCTTTATGAATTGGATTCCCTTTTACCAAGAAAGATGTTTCTGACGAAACTATTTTTCTTTCTTTCGAAAGAAGATGCCAATAGATCATGGCAAAACGAAATCATTTGGCATGTAAGGCAGGGATGGCAACCCGGCTGAATCAGTCGTCCATTGTGTTTGGCTCTTGTGACTCATTTCCGCTGGAACTAATCCAAACAAATGAACGCGGCTTTCCTTTCGGAACACACCCGCAAACGTTGTGAATCGAATAACGTGTCCATCTTGCGGAATGGGTGGTCTAATCAAGATAACAATATGTTATGGGATGACACAGAGATGTACCGACATAATTACAAAGGCCGAATTCTGTAAGGAACCGAAAGGATGAGCCCTGGTTATTTCCGCTCCCTAAAAATTGCGCAACCACAGACCTAATTTTTATAACTATCTTTTTAACCAATCCTCTTCTAACGTTTTAGCAAATTGTAAGTTAAAATTTTACTTCTACCTGGACCCCACACAATTTGAAGGAGCATAAAGACAACGGAGATAAGCTATTGCATTCTTAGGAGCAGCATTTGAAGGGAACGAGCACTGACTTTTACGATTCGACAGCTTTACTCCAGTACCCACTGACAGAAAGCTTCGGAGCCAGTCTGAGGGCAGTGGCGACAGAGTAAAAACAAAATTCTTCCTTCCCTGGAATCGAACCAAGATAAATTAGCTCTTGGTCAGTTTTTTTAATTCGCTTAGTGGGGGGTGGAGTCCAACTGGATGCACTCGGCACGGCGGCCACTGACTGGCCTACTGTAGCCTGCCCCGAGCGATTATGATGATGAATTTGGTGGAATGGAGACTGGCAGGAGAAACCCAAGTACTCGGAGAAAACCCGCCCCAGCACGACTTTGTCCACCACAAATCCGATTTGACCAGACACGGGATCGAACCCGGGCCGCCGCGGTGGGAAGCCAACGACTAACCGCTTGAGCTATGGCGCGGACTTCTTGGTCAGTTACTTCGTCCTTTTACACAAGTTCGATTTCATTTAATCTGATTATCGAATGTCGCTGTATTCTGAACATTTCAGGTTCAAATCTCGGTCCCGGGAGACCGTTAATCCTGATGTTGAGTATTTTTGAATTTACTCAGTCCCTCCAGGCGAATTCGGGGAGACTAATTCGAATTAGGTCATGAATGCATCCGTCCACATACCATCGCATTCATTAATCATTAATCATATAACCATTTGAGGCTACAGTAAGCGGTACTGAAAGTGTTTTACCTAAAAAGAAAGGTAAAGTTGTCCCTGTGGTTAACTAATTAAGCACTACGCCATGAAGGCGCATTGGGGGAGTGGATCTATAGATCCACATTTTCTTGACCACGGCACTAGCTGGAGGTGAGTGGTCAGCTTCACGTCCCTGCTGCTCTACCCCCGGAGAAACAGCACCCAGTACCCATTGGATAGGAGGCTGGATGGGCCACATAGCCGGTCTGGACGAAGTGGAGAAGAGAAATTTCTTGACCTTCCCGGGACTCGAACTCCGACCCCTCGGTTTTCCAACCTGTAGCACAGTCGCTATACCGACTGCGCTATCTCGGCTCCCGTCTTAAATAAATGAAATGAAAAAATTATTGAAATTTCTCGGGCTATCAGATATATCAATATTGAGTTAAAACCAAAGTTTCATAGATCTCCACTGTCTCCATCATGAGGGTCCATGTGGTGAATGACCATATGCCGCTGATACAGACTGGTATATATAAATCACATATGATATTTCACCACATCGACCCTGATAATGAAGATAACCGAGATCTCTGAAAAGATGGGGTTTAACTCAACATTGATATGGCTGGTAGTCTGAAAAAATGGCAATGCGTTTATTCTCCTCGGAATCTTACAGGAATAAATTTAATTTCTTAGACTTTTGTCTGGATTCAGGGGAACAGATCTGTAAGTTCTTCAGCTACATAATACAAAACAGAAGGATTTGGGCACATAACATGTTCTTCTAACGAGGTTCGAACTCTCAATTAAAGTCCAGTGGTCAGGAACCGTAGGGGGCACAGTAGGACGCAGAACAAAATCCATTACCAGAGCTAAGTTAATTTCAATTGTCGATTTCTAGGCATTCACTTTGTTCATGTACGCCTTTGAACAGGTATTGAGGTCTGAAAATCATCAAAACAACTTCAAAACCCAGTTCAAGCATCATAGCAAACACACACCGTCTCCAGTACAGGAAAGTAAGTAAGTAAAGTACGTAAAGCTATCCCTGTACAGGCCGTGAAGGCCCATAGGGTTGTGAGACGTTGAGGGTCCCACATTATCTAGAGAATCGGCTCAAAGATGGCGGTAAGGTTGTCAGCCTTACGCGTCAGCCGCGCTTTACTCTCCAGGAAAATTATTTAATTCCTGGTACTCATTTCTGTTAGAGGCTGAGTGAACCCCAGAGCCATCGTGCGGCCGGAAGGATTAGGTCAATTGGAAAAATCCAATGACATCATCGGTATTTGAACCCGCGACCTTCCGGCATGGGCCAGTTAATTCTGTTTAGGGAAGAACAGCTGTTCTGAGAATTATACAAGTAAACTATGCGGACGAAATAAGAGGTTTTACTATTAAAACGGATAGAATGTGTAGTAACCGGGGCACGCGTAACGTAGTTGGTTAAGGCAATATGCTACTAGCCGGAAGGTCGCAGGTTCGATTCCTGATGAGACCGTTGGATTTTTCAATTGTCCTAATTCTTGCAGCCGCACTATGGTCCTGAGGTCTACTCAGCCTCTAACAGAAATGAGTACAAGGAATCTTCCTGAGGTTTAAAGGGCGACAGGAGCGTAAAGTTAACAATCTCACCGCCATCTGTGAGCCGACTGTCTAGAAAATTGTGGGAGCCTCGACGTCTCACAACCCTATGGGCCTCCACGGCCTGTTACAAGGATAGTTTTACACAGAAATATTGTTAAAGGATTTGATCAACGCCTTGCCAGGCAAGAGCTCTGTGAACATGGTCCAACACGCAACAATAGAGAAAGCTGTGTTTTTTGTAGATCCGACTGACGCGCCAGTAGACCGGCTGGATAGCGATCACGTGGTGATATTATTTTACTGTAGGTTCATGTCCGTTCCGCGGCTACACGGCTACATAAGAGTGACAGAAGTCGTTCTGGGCAGTTACGAGTCAGCCGTAAGCTGGTGGAGTGAGACCAGAAGAATTATTAGTTCCGAGGTTCCAGAGTGACTGAAGATGAAACAGTAAGAAGACTTCAAAGTGATTTGAAGAGTTAGTTTCTATGAGATCCGGTGCCAGGATACGATTGATGAAGAATGGCGTATCTACTGTGTGTGCAACGGTGAACCGGAAACTGTGTAAACCAGCGATAGAGCTGTATTTAAGTGTTATTAAGAAAACTTGTAATCAAGGTGGTAATAAATCCAATCATCCCAACTAGAACCCCTTATTTTCGTCACGTTTACCACCCTACACGTGACAATATCGGTACCGATCTCTGAACTCTGATATAACTGTCATATATACGTGGAAATTTGGCTGGGACTTCCCAGGTTTCTCTTTACGTTCCACGTTAAATGTCTTGCACCTAAATATATATCATGCCACCTTGCAATGCTCCTCCGAACATTTTATGTAAGGTGTAAATGATTTTAACATATATTCCTTATTGTAAAAAACAAAAGTAGGCTTATTAGACTATCTAGCTCTCAGTATATCCTCCCAAAAAAAGCCAAAATAGTGGAGTCAGAAAAGACAGCTGTTGCTAAGCAATGGCTCTGTAAATATTTTACTGCGGCAAGGAATAAACTTGGAACAATAGAAGGATTATTAGCCGCGGTATTTCATACGCGGTCCGTGTCATATCAAATACTCACAATAGGTAAAGTTGTCCGTATGCTTAATTAGTTAAGCACTATGCCATGCATACATAATTGGGCGTAGAGAAGAGAAGAGAATATGCAGCGAAAGGAAAATAGGCGACTAGTTTTTCCCAGAACTTCTTGTCAGTAAATGTTTGCTCCTTCCTAGTGCCAGCGTATGGTAGATTACTTGTATGAAATCTGTGAATAAAATTATAGCCTATAGATGCAAAATGTTTGGTTGCAGAATGTCATAAGGAATTACCACCTGAAGGCCAGCTAAGCAGGAGGGTGATATTAAAATGTATCATAGAGATATCGGTTAGAATGTGAACTAACTAAGAACAGTGTAGAATTTGATCAAAATGGTGTAGTTTATAATAACAAATGAATTTCTCGGTTCCATAAAATAAGGCAATTTCTTGAACAACAGCAGGAATTTAAACCGATCTCATTACACTTCGTACAATGGAAGTAGTTATTTAATGTAAACATTATATTACATGCCACGACTGGATTCAAATGGCACAGGATGGATCCAATGATATTTCTTTTTGTGAATAAGTTAATAAGCCTTCAGTTTCCATAAAGTTTTTTTTTCTCCATGGAGTGCTCAGGGAAGGTCCTGCAGGATGAGTGAGCATTCTGGTAACCGTTCAGAAAATTAGCTGTTACGTTACGTATCGCTACTTACACGTGTCATTTAATATTGTTTTACATCGGTGAAATTAAGGACGTTACCATGTTCCGGACGTGTAAGGCGAATGTGAAAAAGCAAGACACGAACACAAATTTAGTTGAGTATCGTTGTTTCTGCTAAAGTGGAAGACAACATTAAGTTTGATATTCTGGAACTGGAACTAAGTTGTGAAGATGGGAAGAGAATGAAATTGGCGTCATTATTAAATAAATCGAATCTTCATGACCCTGCTATCAGGAAGATATTGTACGCTGAGTCTTTCTTGAGAATAACCTAAAATTCAAACAATTTACAGACAGATTTCTTTCTCCGACTTCGAAGTGGCAGAGTTAGGACTAGCATTCCGTAACTTGGAAAGAACGCGAACACGCAGCCACGTGCACATTTATAACATAAAATTAGACGCGACCTTGACCTGTGTCAAACGGAAGTAACTGTGTTAGACGTCGATAAGTACAACCTCCAAGTATCGCAATTAGCCCAGGATCCGCGTTAGTGTCCGCCTGGCGTGATAACATCTCCACGCATGCGTCTGATATACGTGTATCCTGTTTGTGGCAGGTTCCGGCTCTGGCACCTTGCTTTACCGCTGCGGAGGATCTCTAATCAACAATCGTTACGTCATCACTGCTGCACACTGTGTTGTCAACCTCCCAGGGGACCTCCAACTGTAAGTGAGGGACAGACACAGAAGAGAACACGTAGAGATAAGTGACAGGTTTATTTAAAGAAGCTGTTTCAACTACATGGGTTACAAAGAATTTATCGAGGTGGTAAGGTAATCATGGATGGTGAGTAGCTAAGAAAATCGAAAGGAAGTGATCGTAGCCTACTTCAAAGTAGCTAGGAAATACTGAATAAGAACAGGAAAAAGTATAAACGATAACCTGGTCAAGTTTCGAAGCGAACTAGTCTGCAGTGTTACAGCAACCTAAGAGGAAATGGAGAAAATTATATCTTGAATAAAGGTAAAGTTGTCCTTGTGCCTAACTAATTAAGCACTACGTCATGAAGGCGTATGGTGTAGTGGATGTATAGATCCATATTTCCTTCACCTCGGCGAAGGCGAGTGGTCAGCTTTAAGCTTCGGCCGCTATACACTCAGGGAAATAGCCCCCGCTACCCGTTGGATAGGAGGCTCGGTGGACCTCAGAGCCGGTCTGAACGCCGTGGAGAAGAGAAAATTCTTAATCCTACTGGGACTCGAACTCCAACCACTCGGTCGTCCAGCCCGTAGACATTCGCTATACCATTTTATTATATTTCAGTATTCTGTTGCATTGAGGTATTATTCAATTATATGCACACCGTCAATAATGCAACAATGATATTTAAAATAAATACTATAAAATTCACCTAAAACATGTTCTTCACTAAAAGTGTAGTTTTTATACTTTAAAATGTTATTAAATGTTATAAAATATCATTAAGACACTACATGTATATCATTTGCACTAAAAGTGACTATTAAATTCTTTAGAATGTCTTCACTTTATAGCATATGTCCTTCTAATTTCCAACATGTTTCGGCCGCACATGTGCCATCATCAGGCAAACTTTTGATTGGTGAGGAGACCACAGTACTGTTCGTTTGTCTTTCGAGCTCTCCGGCACGTCGTCGTTTTGTTGTGTCACATCTCTAGAACTCCGTCATTGTATTCTTATTGCGGCAATCACAGTTTGTATGTTGCTTTCTCTTGTATGTTTGTCTCTAGTGCGGTCTTCTTGTATCCTACACAAAAGAAGACATACCGGACTTAGGTTCTCACAGTTGTGAATACGAGCAGTAGCGTCTTCCGGGCTGTAAACCCGTGTAGTTTCCAAAAAGCCCGGCATTTCAATTGCATCTTCAGGGTTTAAGTGTAAGCCACGCAATAAGCGATAAACCTAGTCAGCTGAGCTGGGCTTGCCGTCTGTTTCTTTTCCGTCCTGTCTGCACGGCGGCACAAGCCAGAAGACCACACTTCTCAAAAAGAAGACGAGTGTTCATAACACGCTATGAAAGCAATGCAAATCTGTACGCATTCCTGACCTCTACAATCGAAATTTTGCAACCCCGGTCACTGCAATGGCTGGTTAGGAAGCCGCGTTGGCACGCGAGTCTATCCGGTCGCAATGGCGGAGAGAGAAATTGTAGTCTTTAACGGCAATCGAACCTCTTTACCGACTAAGCTGAAATAACCCACACGTCTATTATTGCTGGCAGTCCATTAAATCGAGAATTTCGATATAGGAAAAATAACATAGCCATGAAGAAAGCAAGGAATTCGCATAAGAAGTTAGAAAACTGATAAGAACACGCCATTTTGGATTCTCAAACGGAAACGGCCGGATTATATTCAAATTGATGTTGGAGAAATAATATGATGGCATTTCGATTCAGTTAAATTGTTTCAGGCTCAGATCAAGTTTTCCGAAACAAATGAAACCAGTTAACAGCTGCATAACCCATTTCTCTATTATCCGATTTAGTATTATACCCATTATGCTTAAGTTCTTCAAGCAGCATTTTCACGCGATATCTCATTTCAGCTGTATCTCTCAGTGATTTCACGTGACATGTTCTAGAAAAAAAGTAGAAATTACGAAGTTCCTCATTATGTCATATTCTCAAAATACCGTGCTAGTTAACTTCTCTGACGTCAAGATATCTTCCTGAGCATAGTTACTCCAGCATGCTGTAAAATCTCTCGTCACACCGAGGTCATATCCCTACGCGTATGACACACTGCTCCAAATTAAATATGTGTAAAGGAGATTTCAAAATAACGGTCTTATGTAAGATTAAGTCGTGCAGTTTGATAGGTAACACACTACACAGCCCCACGTCCCATGAGACCGCACACTTAGCATTCGCTACCGTGAGAACTTTCAGTAATTTTTTAGTTTCTTGGTGGGGTTAGGTGAGACTGAGTCCATTTGGTATGTCGGCCACTAATTGACCTATTGTACCAGCCCCGGATGATAGATAATGATGATGATGATGAATGTGGAGCAGTCGGCCGAATGAGAACTCGCAGGAGGATCCGATGTACTTGGAGAAAACCTGCCCCAGTGCCTTTTTGTCCAACACAAATCCCAGATGACCTGTGCTCGAAATCGAGCCGCCACGGTGGGAAGCCGGCGACTAACCGCCTGAGCTATGGCATGGCCCTACAAGAGCATTTTATAAATCGTAAATTCTGAAATGTCCAATTTGACAACTTTGACAAAATCAAGGAGGCCACATCCTACAGCCAAGAAGATGTTGACGAGGGTGACCAAGAAATGAAAAAAAGACGTGTCTGTGTGTTTCGCCACAGGGCCTCGGTTCGTCTGGGAGAGCTGGACGAGAGGACCGATCCCGACTGCGATAGGTCCGAATGCGCTGACGCAGTCCAAGACTTCAGTCCAACTGTTGTAAAAGTGCATAAGGGCTACGATAATCCCAAATTCAGAAATGACTTGGCCCTTATTCGTCTTGATAGACCAGTTGACATCACAGGTGAGTAACTGTTATAAGAAGTCAATTTCTTTCGATTAATAAGTTTAAAGTAGACCAGTCTGAAATTATCATTCGTGATTACTAACAAATTGAAGATTAGAATAAAAACAAAAAATAGTATTGAACTGAAACTAATACAATCTAAATTTTCAAGCCTATTCAGTTCACAATATTTGTAATTTTATATCGCCATGACTCGGTCGTCAGGCTCTCTTTGTGATAACGAATTTATCTACATGAAAGTGAGCTGTAACATTTAAAGTAATAAGGTAAAGGTAAAGCTATTCCTGTAAGAGGCCATGAAGGCCCATAAGGCTGTGAGACGTTGATGCTCCCATATTTTCTAGACAAGCGGCCCACAGATGGCGGTGAGATCAGCCTTACGACCCGGCCGTCCTTTACCCCCAGAAAGATTCCTGGTATTCATTTCTGTTATAGGCTGAGTCGAACCCAGGGTCATAATGTGGCTGGAAGGATTGTGTCAATTAAAAAAACAGTAACCTCATCGGGAATATAGCTTGTAGCATAGAGCATCAATCAACTACGCTATCACTTGCCCCCAGTTTAAAGTAGTAGAGAAATGAATGACATACTCCAAACATGAGTTATATTTCAGATGTATTTACGACAAAATTGGATTTTACAGAATAATTTATGTAGAATGGCCCTTCTTATTGATGTCTTAGTGGAATACAATGACAAACCTGAAGGCTAAAGGAAATGTGCCCATTCGAGGAAGAAGTACTGTGGTTGTGCTCAGTCACTCCAGGAAAATTCCGAGAGAGTACCTAGATTAGACCACGACCGCTTCCTTGCAAATCCTTTTCGATTCATCACTCATCTGTCATCTTACCATTCGACAATATACAGCATGTCCCAGGAGGAAAGATCAGTATTCTGGGAGGGCATAGTATCGGCCATTCTAAACAAAAGTGTATATGTACGGTTTCCGAGATAGAGCTATTTCACCCTACGGTTCCAAAACTGATTTTACGTATGGTTTCTAATACCGGTATTCATTGTTCGAGTGACAAAGTTGGTACAGTTTACATAGTATAACACATTTTCGAAAATTCCACATTCAGCATCAACATACTTTGTAACTCGTGTAAGGACATGGCGTGTTGCTCATCTGTACAGTGTACGGTGTACTGTACAGTGAAACAGCTCTATCTCGGTGCAACTCGTGTGAGGACATGGCGTGTTGCTCGTCTGTACAGTGCACAGTGTACTGTACAGTGAAATAGTTCTATCTCAGAAACTGTTCGGAATAGGACAGAAGTACATGCACATTTTTATGCTTAGAATGATCGATACTATGACCTCCCAGAATATTTATATTTTCTCCTTGGACACTCTGTATAGTCTAGCTGCTCAAAAGTCGTAATATAAGTAAACCAGTCCCTGAAACAAAGAATAAATTTCAAATATTTGAGATAATTGTAATGTCACCTTTTGGATGGGGCAATTTAAAATTATAAAAGCAGTTACAGATCGTACGATTATGAAATAAATATAAAGCGATACAATCAGAGAATGCATGCTCATAAAATAACTGTAATATATTTCTTTGTTGCGTTTAGCCTACGTCAGCCCGATATGCCTGCCGTTCGGAAACCTCAGGAACAAGACGTACATCGGTCTGAAGTCCCTGGTTGCAGGATGGGGAGCCACAGACTTGGGTAACAGTACTTCTAAAATTTATCATGCAAATTTCGACGGCAATAAAACAAGAAATAAGCCATACGCTGAACTAACGGATCTAATGAACAACACAATATTACGACAATAGTTCTCATTAATAAAACGAGAAAATGGAAGAAATTTTGTTTTCACAGGCATACATTTTATGTTGAACTCCTTATTCAACTTCTCTGTCGACTTTCTAACTTTTTTCACACATTTACTATACACAATCTACAGAGTCTGCTATAAGTGTACATGTATATGTTCAATAAATACAGGCTCGTGAATGAGTTATGCGTAGTGGCGAAACTCATACATACTTATTTGATCGCTTAGGCGTCATTTTAATTCTTGTATTGGGATTTTACTCAGGTCTGTCTGGTAGAGTTAGGGCGGTGTACATTTTCATTCTATGTGTAGTTTCGCTAACTTGAATCCTTCTTACTATTCGTATTTTAAATGAAGCCACCAGTTGCACGTCGCAGCACACACCTAGTTACAAAGCAAGGCAGTTATCTCTCTTTTCACGGAATCAGAACTGAATGTCTTTGACGTCAGAGTTGCAGTTCTCACAGCAGTTCCTATGAACAGAACGGTCTTCTGGTTTGAAAATTTCAAAACTGCATGGCATTATACCCCCAAAAAACCGTTATCTTCGGGATATTTTCTTCTAGTGGGGAAAAAAATGTATTTCAGAACAGAGCACGTGGATTTGAGAGAGATGGATTGGAAGGAAACAGGAGAAAGTAGACAAAGGGTTGCACTGCTTTGAGCAGTCTCATAACTGTAGTACTATTTGGACAGGATTGTTTTCAGAAAGCGCGTGAAGTAGTTAAAATGACGTGGATGTATTTACGTAGCGATAACTCATTTCCGACTAATTACAAAATATTTTTATTTTATTTTTAGCTTTATATTTATTATTATAATTATTTTACTTATCATCATTATAATCGGGGGCACGCGGTAGTGTAGTTGGTTGAGGCACTATGCTACAAGCCGGAAGGTCGTGGGTTCAAGTCCCGATGAGATCAGTGAATTTTTTCAATTGACTTAATCCTTCCAACCGCACTATGGCCCTGGGGTCGACTCGGCCTCTAACAGAAACGAGTATCAGGAATATTCTTGGGGGTAAAGGGCGGCCGGCGCGTATGGCTGACAACCTTTCCGCCATCTATGAGCCGACTGTCTAGATAATGTGGGAACCTCAACATCTCACAACCCTATGTTACAGAGATACATATTTTTACATCATTATAATCATTATTCTACAGTTTGATTCTGCCATTTTCTTCTCTTCCCTTTTCCCCAATGGCTATTGCTAATCACAGTATTTCATGTTGTTCACATATTTCTTATATGTTTCTATTACAGCATTTCGGCCATTCCGTATTTCACAACTGAGCTGTAGACCGGACATATTCAATGTAAAGTCTGGAACTCCAGTTCACCAAAATAACTGACTCTGCAGCTACATACATTACATCATAATGTACCTTTGACTAAGCCTTTTACTGTTCTGTACAACCCTCTAACCCGAAACCGTAAAAAAAAAATGTAAAATCCTTCTTCTTCTAAACATTAAACACTACTCTCATAAGTCAGTTTAGGTTCGTCTTCTAGGAATTCACGCCACGTAATGCGGTAGAAGTTCACAGACATTTCGGTGGGACAGACTGCCTCAAAGTTCAGGGTCCAAAAGTCTGCCGAGCAAGCAAAAAGCAAGAAGCAAGCAGCAAGCAGCAAGCAGAACCTTTCTCAAAAAATATACTACCACACTCAATAAGTTCGTGGAACGGCCGCAAAGTGCCGTTGCAGTGCACTACAGCGGATAAGTTGAGGCACGATATGATGCCCTGTTAGGTCATCTCTCGTCACAGCAAGAGGCAGTTGTGTGCAAACAGTGTAAGCAGAACTACGGCCTCTATTGTGTACTGCAGTTAAATACGAGTGGCGGAAATCGAAAATATGGCAGTTTGAACAACGGACAAACATCAAGTTCTGCCAGAAACTAGGCAAATCCCCTAGCGAAACGTTTGGCGTAGGAAGAATTGGTTGTTGCTACACGACAACGCCCCTGCACATCGCTCTGTTCTTGTCCAAGAGGAACTGGCAAGGCAACAGGTCACCATTTAGCCACAGCCTCCGTACTCACCTGATCTCGCACCGTGCATTTCTTTCTCTTTCACCGCGAGAAAGCAAAGCTACGTGGTAGTAGATTTCAGGCGTCCGAGGTGGTGGTCATTGCCACAAGAGACGCCGTACGGGAATTTCTCGCAAATATATTTCAGCAATGTATTCGGCAGCTATATCAACCTTGGCAGACTTGCATAGCGGCCAACGGAAACTATTTTGAGTGTCGATGTGGATCTGTGTAAGTGTATGTGAATTGCAATGATGCAATAAAACCACATTCCACGAACTTAATGGCTCTACCACGTGTCGTGTCTATATTTTCTTCTTCTTGATGTTGCTTTTATGTTGTGCTGACGGCCAAATTTACACGAGTATCGAACACACAACAGAATGCAAACCATAACGATGACCCATAAATGTCGATGAACTTTTACCAGAGTATATGGCGTCAAACCCCACAAGATAGTTATAGCTGCGAGAACCTCAAATCCAAATTAGTGCTTCTTGTATAAAATAATCAGGCAATGAAAAAGTAAAAATTGTGTGAAGACACAAAACACGCAGGCATAACTTTGTCTTTAACTGTTTCTGGTTGACAATGGCGATTAGGCGATTAAGACTTAGCATAACTTTTCTAGCCGTCTGAAGACTATGATGATGATGATTATTATTATGATTATATAAGAATAACAACAACAAGGGAAGAGCCACAAAATTATTCTTTATCTCAGGAGCCACCAGTTCCAACCCCGTCTTGCAGTGGGTGGCAGTGACCATTGTGCCATCCGCCGGCTGCTCCAAGACGTTCGCCGAACGGACGGGCACCCAATTGGGACCGGGCCAGATATGTGCAGGGGGCCAGAAAGGACGCGACTCTTGTGAGGGAGACAGCGGAGGGCCCCTAATGCGAGCGGAAGATGAGTTCCAGCGGTACTTCCTGTTGGGGGTGGTTTCCTTTGGGGCCCGGCGCTGTGGCTCGGAGAATCTTCCCGGTGTCTACACAGAAACACCAACCTATCTGGACTGGATACTGGATAGCATAGAGCCATAGCGTTACCAGCAGCTCAAAGAATGAAAATCCTGCTAGGAGGGTGAAACACTGGAGCCCTGAGTTGGTATCACTCGAGGACAGTCTGGGGTTTATTCTCATGCATTATGTATCCCAGATTGTGTAGGTACACGCCTTCTTATGGGCTCATCCCCATCAAAGGTGTCTTACCATACTTTTAAGTGACTTTCAGAATTAATTCTGATTTGCAGCAAACCATACGACCTTTCACATAACAGTATAATTGGTAGTAGTACTAGCGCTTTCATGCAGCAAATAGACCCAGAGTAACACCGACAGAGAATAACATTTTCTCAGTACTCAAAGGGTTGAGAAGTTTCTATGTTCTGAACCCAGCACGCGTCAAATAGTCGAAGATCCTTATAGGTCAACATTTTGAAATACGTTCTACATAATTTTGCCCTCTCAAGACAAATTTCTGCTTGGTTATTGCTATCCCGCAGGACTTGCCTGATTTTGATGAAATCATTTATCGTTAACCTTCTCCAAAATTTAAACTGGAGAAAACTGCATAGTGAGGAGGTTCATAGCTTATACTCTTCGCCAATTATAATTAGAATAATGAAGTCAAGGAGGATGAGATGGGCAGTGCATGTAAAACCCATAGGAGAGAAGACGACTGCATATAGGATATTGGTGGGAAAGCAAGACGGAAAGAGAAGACTAAGAAGACCTAGACGTAGGTGGGAGGATAATATTATCATAGAGAGATAGGATGGGGTCGTATGGACTGGATTGATCTGGCTCGGGATAGAGACTAGTGGAGGGCTCTTGTGAACATGATAATGAGCCTTCGGGTTCCACAAAGTGTTGGAAAATTGCGCAGCAGGTGGCTTATCAAGAAGGACTCAGCTCCATGGAATGAGTTAGTTAGATCTGAATTATATTTTTCAACATATCGACGTGTAGGACTCGATACCCCAGTCTGTATAGCAGAATGATACTGTGTCATGTAATAGTGACTAGAGAAGCGGGCTTGGATTGGCGAATCGGTTTACTGGATATTCACAAGTCTTAACTATAATTGGTGTTTACACTCTCAAGATTACTGTAACTGTAACATATAAATAAAGTCTTCTATTTTTTACCAACGTTCCCGTCAATAATAAAACTTTAAAAAGAAATTAGGAATATGTTGTTCACTAAAAATGCATTTTAATACTATGACAGTTAAAATCAATAAAATGCCTGTAGGCCTTTAGGTAGTACATAAATTTACATAAATTGGAAACCGGGATCGTGGGTTCCAATCCCACTCAGGACGTGGATGTTTAGTTTGTGTGTGTGCGTTTTTCTGTGTTTGTGTACAGGTAGAGGCCTTGCGACGAGCTGATCACCCGCCCAAGGGGTCCTACCGACTGTGTAAGATCTAGAAAAACCGAAGTGAACGGAGAAGTTCATGGAGGTAGGCCTAGGCCCACTGGGGCTGTAGTGCCAAGGAAAAAAAAGAGTGACTGAACACGCCTTTGGAACTACATGCTAGGCGACTTCTTTTTTCCTGAAATTATATTTCGGAGTAGGAGAAAGCAGAGTTTCCAGCCGGGTTGTGGAATTCCCAGGCAAATGAAGTGTATCGATTGTATGGATACTACGTTGGATGTTGCCAACCGTGCTAGTTAATTTCAAAATATAAGACTTTTGGAAAGATAGATTTGCTACCGTCATCAGTAGGGCCCGGATTTCTATGACATGACATATTTTTTTCCTAGGGTTTATTCCTATTTTTAAATGTAATTATGCAAGTTTCCAGTCATTCTTATTGAAATTATGTCGTTTTTATTGTGCATATAAATGCATATTTTAGAGTTTTTTTGGTTTTACAGCATATTTTGGCATAATTTTGAAATAAGGTCATATTTTTGTCATTTTAGAAACAATTCTTTGATATAATGTAAAATTTCGGTTCCATAATGTTTAGTATTACAAAATAAATTCCAGGCTGGACTGTTGCTTCAATGTGGAATAGAGTTCAAGTACATGAAGTTCGTATTAAAAACCATATTTTTGACTGGACTGTACTTGCAGTTACAAAGGCGAAAATTTGTGAAATGTAGCATTTATGACCTGGCAAGCCGGCTTTTCCCAGTCGAGGCGGGAGGGAGGCAAGTGTAACGGGTATTTTCCTATTGTACTCCGTCTTACTATAAGGTATATACATCCCATTCTTTCTTGGAGGGCTTAGAAGTATTCTATTTATATATGTGGAGGGCGTTATAAGACTTCAGTTTGACCTTACAATGCCTAAAGTGAGTACATGTAGTTCAAGGAGCGCAAGGTTGCGTAGTTTTGTACAGGAGTTTGGTGATAAAGTGTTTAGTACCGATGGCAAGATATTTTATTGTAAGTTGTGTGGCGTGAAAGTTACGGCAGAAAAGCGATTTACTGTGCAGCAGCATTGTAAAACTTTTAAACATGGTAAATGTTTAAGCAGATTATCTACAAAGGATAGCAGACAAAGTTTGTTGTTTAAAAACAGTTCCACTACTTCTTCTTCTTCTTCTTCTTCTTCTTCTGCTTCACCTTCTTCAATGAACAATGGGTCGGAATTTTCGAAGGATTTGTGTCAGTGGATGGTATCTTCGAATATTCCATTAGAGAAATTGCATAATCAGCACTTCAGACAATTTTTGGAGACATACACTAGTCATCCTATCCCAAGTGAATCGACGTTAAGAAAGAATTATCTCTCTACATGTTATGAAGATATGTTAAATAAGATTCGAACATCTGTTGCTGACAACAAGATATGGGTTTCCTTGGACGAGACTTCTGACGTAGATGGGCGGTATATTGCGAATGTTATAGTTGGGACCCTGAAACAAGATCAACCTGGAGAGAGATTTCTTCTTGACTGTGAAGTTCTCGAAAGAGCAAATCATTCGACTATAGCTGTCCTGTTTGATAATTCCATGAAGTTGTTGTGGCCAAATGGAATACAGCGAAATAATGTCCTTCTCCTAGTAACAGATGCCGCTCCATACATGAAGAAGGCTGCCAAAGGACTTCGAATCCTCTACCCGAAAATGGTCCATATTACTTGCCTCGCTCATGCATTGCATAGAGTGGCTGAAGAAGTTCGAGGACATTTTCCTGATGTAGATAGGCTAGTTTCAAACGGAAAGAAAATATTCATCAAGGCCCCTCTTCGAGTGCAGAAATTTAAACAAGAAGCTCCTCTACTGCCACTTCCTCCACAGCCTGTCGTCACACGGTGGGGTACATGGTTGGATGCTGTGGCATATTATTGTGAAAATTACACAGCCATTGAGAAAATGTTTAATGGCTTTGACAGCAGTGAGTCAACATCAATTAAAGCTGTCAAGGACTTATTCTCTACCACTCTAGCACAAAATCTAGCATACATAAAGTCAAACTTCTGTTCAATTTCAGGTGCAATAACTCGCCTGGAATTTGTAGGGACTGAACTCTGTGACGCGTTGGACACTGTAAAGAGCATTGAGAATGAACTAAACCGAACTCGTGGTGAAATAAGTGACAGGATTAAAACCAAAATAGAAAGTGTTCTTCATCGGAATGCTGGTTATTCAACATTATGCAAGATTGCAGATATACTTTCCGGTAAACTAGCAACATTCGAAGATGATACAGAACTGTCACCAAACGACTTGACATTCTTCAAATATGCTCCTGTCACATCATGTGATGTGGAACGAAGTTTTTCCAAATACAAAACTATCCTTAGTGATAATCGGCGATCTTTCAAATTTGAAAATTTGAAAATGCATGTAGTTATAAATTGCAATTGTAACAGTGAAAATTGAGACGTGAATAACTCAGTGAAAATTGAGACGTGAATTGCTTGTGTTCTTTTAAATGGTGTTTTTAGACAACAGAGTTAAGTTAGTGTTCATACCATGTGCACCAGTGTTTGTCTAAAATATGAACGCAAATATCAGTATTAAAAAGAAAGCAATGAATGGTTTAATCCAGTACGAAATGTCGAAATTCCATCAGTTTTCTTTCCTTCAGAGACATAATAGGGCTAATTTGGTAAGAAGGACCTACTATCATAAATTCATCATCTTTATTCTTAATTTTATTCTTATCTTTAATTAAAATTGTGAAATTTTATGTCCCATTTAATATTTAAGGTCATATTTTACACTTTTTAGGTCATAAGTGCATGCATATATTTATAGTTTTTAGGTCATAAAAATCCGGGCCCTAGTCATCAGTTATAAGAGGGGGAAAGGAAGCTTCTCAGCTGGACCGAGTCACTATGCTCCTGGCCCCTTCTAACGGGCCCAACTAAGTAGTAATCTTTACCCCCTCTTACACCTGATCATGAAACTAATTTTATTTTAAATATAACAAACACTATGTACAACGTCAAAATTATTATTTATGTAATAGACCTCCGTCACAAGCCGTTAGAGGATTAGAAGATATATCAAACTGTAAATCGTATTTTGGAGGTATATGGTTCGATTCTAGGTCAGAGAAAGTTTATCAATTGCATTTATTTGTACTCAGACTGTTCCAGACATCGGTAAACAATCTGCCAGTCCTCTTATACTCATCTCTCTCCATACTGAACAACCCTTGTAGCTGATTCATCATCAGTAAATAACATCAGTTTTTACAAGAAGGTACAGTTCATATCGATGGTCGTATTCATTTTGGACGGTACACATTTTCAAAAGGCGTTCTTTACGACTTTGCTTATCTCAATGGCCTTGATTTTGTCACAGTTAATCATATTAGACACGACAATGAACATGGCGTTACTTTCCTTGCATTTTGCGGTAGTCACCATTTGAAAAACATTTGAAATGCAATCTGCAGATCGTAACGCTATCTGCATTCTATGTTGTGAACGACTTTTCCTCATGATTAACGGTTTCTGACAATGTAAGGATTTAATTGAGCTTCATAAACCCTGGGCCCACTTGCTCTGAGTCTACTCACTCGATTAACCACCGTAGTTTTCGAAATCTATCGCAGTTCTTCCCGTGGGAGCTACCGAGGGGGAGGGGTCACAGAACAATTGCTTACGGACTTGCGTTTAAAGAGATTACGAATATTTTTATTGACCCATCTACGTACAGTTATGAGTGGCCGCGCGTACCAAAGTGTGAACCGTCTTCGACCACTCGAACACTGGAATCGTGTTTGCGTCTTTTCTGTGTATAGTAGCGGCCTTGCGACGGGCTGATCCCCCGTCCAAGGAGTCCTACCGACTGTGTAGATTAAGAAACTGAAAAAGCGGCCATGGTCCACAAGGGCTGTAGAGCCATAGATGGATCTACAGTTGTGATTATCTGTACTGAAGCACAGAACTAACTAAATAACCAACTAACTTACTAATTTCTTGGACCCGAGCCCTTCTTCAGAAGCCGCCAATTCTGCAGCTACTAAAAAATTTCCAGTATTTTGTGAAACCAGAAATTTAATTACGGTCTTCACAAGAACTATCCATTTGTCCCTATTCTGAACCAGATCACTCCAACCCATACCAAACAATCCAATCTCTGTAAGATCCACCTTAATACTATTCACCCCCTTACGTCTTGGTCTTCCTGGTGGTCTCTTTCCTTCTGTCTTTCTCACCAATATCCTACATGCACTTTTCTTCGGTAACATTCTTGCTACATAACCTGTAAATCTCATCCTCCCTGACTTCAGCTTTCTAATTATAATTGGCGAACAGTACGAGTTATG